TATTAAGGGGTCTACAGGTTCTCACTACACAGATGGGACTTGTACTTAAACCTTCCTGTTTTTCAGCCTCCCAAGTGCTGGATTACAGGCATGTGCCACCACACCCAGTCTCATTTGCTGGCTCAGTGCTCCCCAGGGGTGGGGTCAGCATGGCAGGCCAGGGATTGAACTCCTGGTTCGTGTTTCTGCCTAAGAAAGTGCTTTAGTCCTCTGAGCTATCGGGCTGGCCCTCTCATTGTCTTATAAGTGCAGTATTTTCATTCTTTATTAAAGAATATTTTACCTCATTTAAGCCTACTACAAGGAGTTTTACCTAGGAGCATGTTTGTAGATGGAATGTATTCAAAGAATACAAATAATCATTTATCAGGGTATAAAATAATACTTAGGAAAACCATTTAATTTAAAACTAATCATTTATTTGTTCATTGTCAGACATGTATTGAATACCTACAGGGTTTGATACTGATCTTGCCATTGGGGAAAAAAGGATGGTTGCAACATAGTCCCTACAAGCATAGGCACACACACTGTAGACATGAAATATTTTTTTATTTATCTGCTAAAAGGATTTTGCAAACATACGTCTCATTGCATATTTTTAGGTTGCTAGCTAGAAGTTTTCCTGGTAAGTTGAGTTGCAAAGAATGACAATTTCAGTGTATTGTAAATATTGACATTTAAAAGATTTGTTACACACTTTTGAGAGAATATTTCAAGTGAAAACAGAATATACTAGTAATTTGTTTGCCACTGTCTCTGGTTTGTGAAAGTTCTTAACTGTTAGGAAATGTATGTATTCCTTTACTTCCTTGAATTTGTATTTCAGTTATACTTAACTCTTTGTACTTTTATCATAATATATTTTTTACTCTTGGAAGTTTTATTTTCATAGTACCTTCCTGCAGTGAAAATGTGTAAATGTCAAAAAAATTTTTCTCATTACAGTGCAATTTTTAAAGAAGAACAATACGCTGGTGAAATGGCTCAGTAGCATAAGTGCTTGCTTGGCAAGCACAAAGGCCTGAGTTCCATTCCTGGTTCTGCAAAAAAAAAAAAAAAAAAAAGTTATTGATGGCCAAGAAGAACAATATGTCACAAATTTTTATGAGAATATTTTATGGAAACATACTTTATAATAGCATGACTAGTACTATTCCAATTGAATATTAATATTCTACTGAGCTATCTCCCCAGCCCAGAATATTAACTAGTATTAATAGAATTAATATTTCCCAGTATCCATTAATTATTGCTGGAGGGTACAAGAATGTACCCTTCCAAGTGCCACTCCCACTGAACCACCCCTCTGAAACAGGCCCTGTCTCCTAAGAGCACTTAAGCTATTGAACTCATCAGTAGATAAAACCACTGATGGCTTTTATGCTCCCATATCCAGACATTTATCAGACACATGAGACTTTGGGGGATATCTTAGAGCTAACCCATGAAACTTTGGGAAGTGTTCACATACACCAATTCAGACTACTGGTTTTTTTTGGTGGAACCAGGGATTGAACTCAGGCCCTTGCGCTCGCCAGAGAAGCACTTATTCCACTGAGCCATCTCCCCAACCCCTTCCACTGAGCCATCTTCCTAGCCCCCAGACTACTGTTACAGAAGCAGCACAGTCATTGTAATACAGTGTGAGAAATGGTTTACAAAATTATAAATAATTTTTTGCTATCAGGAAGATAGGAATGGAGTGATAGTTCTGGAGGGAGAGAGATACTGTTAGAGGAAAAAATTAGGGAAGATTTATAAATGTAGATGAAGATACTTGATGAGTAGGTGTGTAAAAGCAAAGTGCTGTGAGAGCAATGTAGAAGGCCGTTTAGCTTGAGGGAGTGAAGTATGAATCACCAAGGTAGGAATACAGGGGATGACTTGGCTGGACATAGTTGGGCACATAGAAGACACAGAGTTCTTCATTTCTCATGTTGAAATTGAGGTGTCTCTGGAATATGTAGGTGAAGTATCTACTAGGCTGTAGACAGATATGCAATTTAGGGTAGAGATTTTAGCCAAAGTAGGTGTTAAGAGCTAGCTGTTTAAAGGTCTGGGCCCTTGTTATGGATTAGATGATTAGAAAAGTAGCAGAAG